ATTAAAAAAAAAAAAAAAAAAAAAAAAAAAAAAAGAGAACAGCGTAATCCAAGCATCGAGGAAAATTGAAACTGCTACTAGCAGGTCGTCGGCACGTTATTCAAACAGTTATCGCAACGCGCGAGCAACGTTTACGAGCAAGTGTTTGGTCCTTTATAAAGGAAAAAGTTAATCGGTTTCATGCAACGCCACGGAGGGAAAAAATTCCAATCGACGTGTCGATTTAACTTGTCTTTTCATTGGAATAATAAAGAGCTCGTGATTGTTGTCTTTTCGGTCGACTCGTTTCACTGCACGCATTTTGTAGGTATTAGAACGTTCGATGGGGAATCTAAGGAAACTTGATGGATCGAAATTAAATTCAACACTCTTGTAAAATGTAATTTTCAAGATTTTTACTGTTATTTCGTATGAATTAATCTCATTATAGGTATGTTATATTACTGATGTCATTCAATATTAGTATAAAATTAATCTTTTTTTTTTTTGTCGTATCTGTATTACATCTTTCAGTCACTTTTTTCTTTTTGAATAATTTTCACTTTCACGTGATTATTGCATTTCATTGTTATTCGATTGCACGCATGCTGCTAAACTAACAATTTTATTATTCAGATTCTCGGTATTCCTCAGCTCTTTAATTCAGTTTAAATCTCTCACTCGTATCTAAATCAGCAATTTACGAGAAGAATGTGTTCTGCACCGAGCGAGCAACTGATTTGCTTGACGAAGGGCCACACATCGACGTGGGAAGTCTGGTTTTTGTTTAACTGTCTGGTTTCGTTTACTGAAGCGTATATGAATCAGGAATAGGAGCGTAACTGCTTCTAATTTCTAAGCCGAGACAGCTAATTCCGTGAAACTGATCCTGAGGGAGAAGTTGAGAGTTTCTGAACTAGCCGATTCAATTCTAAAGATAATTTTTGATCCTAACGTCCTAACTGATTCTGATGTTATGACTTTATACAATTTCACAAGGCAGGATCCGTTTTTACATTTTTTTTTTTTTTCATGCTAACTTCCTAAGACCACGTATGTGGATTTACGTAAAAAAATATTAGATATGAAGATAAATAACCTTTGAAAATTTTATCAAGAATCGCTAAACTGATTTAGTAACGCTTTAAAACTTTGCATATGTTTCTCTTTCCCAGGTAAAGCGAGAACAACCTGTCCGTTAAGACGACTTCTAGCGTGACAAATTTCTAACAATGGTAGGATTTAATCCTAACGTCTAACTAATTTTGAAGTTGATCTGATTCTGATTTCGTTACTCACAATCAGAGCTTTCTTCCAGGTTCAGACTTTCGAAAGAAAGACTCCGTGCAAAATGTAAAGAAGGATATATTTTATATAAAATCGACGTTAACTCAAAAAAGCTTTAGTTCGTCCGATTTGTTTGATAGCTTGCGTCAATCTTTACTTTCGAATCTCGTTTTATTCCTCTCGAAGTTGCCAGATGGTTCCGAGAATCCTTCGTGTCTGTTTTCTTTTTCTCACCAAATTTTTTCTAATTTTTCCGAAAAACAGAGCCATTAATTAATCAGAAAGCACGAGAACAGTTTCCAGACACTGATTCGCGTGAGGTGGAAGATATAGTAGAGGAAGACGATATTTCTACGCAATTAGCGGCATTAGGACATGGCAATTACTATTATACGAAAAATAATCCGGTTATAAATTATCGGATCATGACGAAAGATACGCGCAAATGTAATCTAATCTAAAAAAAAAAAAACCGACTCTGAAATACCTTTGTGCGCGTCTTATCAATAGGATAATCTTATTAATATTAATATTAATTTGTTGTACTTACTCTTAACGTCGGATAGCGATAAAATTTCGATTGATCGGTCGCTTCCTTAGATTTAGATTAATCATTTCGTCTTACACAACATACTTCAGACAGATATCAATGTAAATAAATGAGATCACGGTTTTACATTTACGTCTGAAAAATTGCACACTTTCGACTTTTTTACTTTCTTCAACCCAAAGTCTCGTGGACAATGGCGGTAATTGGAAACATCGGTTTGAAGAACAATAACCAATGTAGCGGGCAAATGTGATATAACGAGGAGAAGGTAGAATGGGCTAATTAATTGTTCCAATATACAGTTAGATACGTTCAAGTTTCTAGCTGCAATAAAAGCACGTAGAACTGGCATTCGATTGTGTGAAACGCATCTGGAGAATTGCTGGTTCGTATCTTACACAGTTTTTACATATTAAGCACAGTAGAACCGAAACTTTTATATTCTGAACCACTACAGAGACGAAAATGATATGAATAATGGAATTTTATAACAGAACAATCATCCTTTTGATTTGATTAAATTGCACGTATTCAAGAAAATTCTCAGTTTATTTCTACAATTAAGAATGATAGTTTCTGCCTGTTGAATCACTTGACCGTCTTTAGCATACATTATTTTGTAGATAGAAAATAGCCCTGTCTTTTTTTTTTTTACTGTTTCAATTTCTGAGAAAATTATCTGTGACACTTGATTTTGATCGTTATGGAATTATTCATCGGTGTTGTTTCTTTAATAATACTTTATATTTCATTTTGCGAGTACGGGAAACATATTATAATCATATAAAATGTTACAAGTAAATATATTCTATTCGGATAATGGAACACTTAAATATTATAGTATTGTGATAATTTGTCAATATGTTTATTGTATCTCGTTTATTTTTCAAATACCTGGAATTGCCAACAATTCTGCTAATTTTTAGTTACTCGAGTTATTTCGAAAGTGTGGACAAAAATATATATTACCTCGTTGTTTCTACGAAACGAAATTATGCTTGTAATACGACTACGACTACACTTCAAGACTGACAACTGACAAATTAAAATCAAAAGATATCCCTTTGTTGTCAAAGAAAAGACGATTTTATCGTTCGTAGTTTGCCGTAAAATTATTATTTTTTTCCTTTCTTTTCTTTTTGTTTTTTTTACATCACACTGAATAATCTCGCTGTGATCTATAAATTTTCATGTTCCATCTTTATTATGTTTAGCGAACAAAAATATTTTTGATGATTTTACATTTTACTTTACTTTACTTTACTTTACAAATCAGTAATTCGTATCAAGAATGACGTAACGTTGCATATCTAAGTACGTGATTTTACATAACGCAAAATTGAATCATCGTTTCGTTCCTAAAGATGTTTATTTTCCACTTTCTCTTGAAATTTCGATTAAATACTGATAAATATCACAAAAAATTACTCATATTCTTATTACTAAACACATGAAGCTTATCTGAGAATGTAAACATATATATTTAATAAAAAAATTATACAAATAGCCATTTAAAGCATATAATAAGTGTTAAAAACAGTTTCACTAAATAAGTGTTAAAAACAGTTCCACTAAATATTTAAGCTTATTAATATATCAATAATTGTTTAAATATTTTGATGATCTAAAAAATGCAGCAATTGTACAAAATATCAACGCTTGATGAAAAATTGTATATTTTAAACTCTTACACAGCAAAATTTGGAGGAGAAATTTAGAGGTTGTAAAGGAATGATTTCGCTTTTCTAAGATCGTGGCAAATTTAATTATGAAGGAATTTTTTTCAATCTTCACAAAGATGAATTTGAAAAGTTTTCTTTACAAAAAATGTATCTTGAGAATGATGTAGAAACACCTTTGAAAAGAACGAACTCGCGCTTTGAAACGAACCCGCGTAGATTATTGTACCATTTTTTCCCTCACGAAATTACAGCAGTTGAAAAATGTTAATTTCAAGATACTTTCTCCTTCGGAAAATATTTTGAAAATTCAACTGTCTC